AAATGTTAAAAAAAAAAAAAAAAAAAAGACTAACAGGAGAAAAAAAGACTTAAGAATTCAACAGAACAGCACATCGAGGCCACTAGTATTCCAGTGGATGATGTCCTTTCACTCTTCAGCCATGCATTGACTCATCAGCTTCCAGGAATGACGGGAGCAGGGCTCTGGATCCTTTTTCCAATCTTTAACCCAGACCAAGTCGACCAAGTCACCCAGGTTATAGATGTGAGCAGGGTATCTGTGGGAAGAGGTACCCTTTCTGCTATATGTTTATGTATCCAGGAGAAAGTTTTTTGTAACAGAATAAGCTATTTCTGCAAGGTTATATTCCCCAACTGATATAAATCTCCCAGGAGGCCCTTTATTAGAGGCCAGGGCCTCCCAAACAGTACTTCTAAAGAAGTATATCCAGGGACAAGTAAGATAGCTCAACAAGTTAAAGCGCCTGCTTAGGCAGGCTTAGGCAAGCACAGGGACTGAGGTTCGATTCCCAGAACAAAATGCTGTACCAGCCCCACTCCAGGCTGAGTGGGCCACAAAAAAAAAAAAAAGAAAAGAAAGAAAGAAAGAAGTGTATCAAATGGGCTCAGGGACATCCTGAACTTGAAGAGGGTCAGAGATCTACCCACAGTGCCCGAGTCTCCTGGTAATACGTACTCGCTATTGTCTTCACAGTTCAGTTCATCTGTTCACCTTACCAGAACTTCAGGGCCTGGAGGCAGTCTGAAGATTTAATTTTCTAGAATTTCGAGTGCCACAAGTATTTAGAAAGAATAACATCACTGAAATAAATTCATAACTCCCCAGATGAAATACTGAGAAATAAATATTTTTTCATTTATGTATTTGGTACAGGGTCTCACTACGTGGCTCGGACTTGTAGTGATCCTCCTGTTTTCAGCCTCCTCACCACTGGGATTACAGGCATGTGCCACCATTCCTGGATTTAGCTGCTGGTTCAGCATGTCCCAGGGGTGGAGCTGGCAAGGTATATGGGACCCGAAATTGAATCCTGGTCCCTACATTTGCCAAAGCTGGCATTTAGTCCACTGAGCTATCTCATCGGCCCTTTTTTAATATTTAAGCTATGATTTTTCAAAGTTATTCTCAAAGCTTATAGATAGGACATCATGTTTGCACACAATGATTTTTGGATAAAATCTCCAAGCTAAATATGGTGATAATTTAATTCCTTAGGACTATCTTATGGCATTATCTCTGCAACAAGAACAGCAGAACCAAGAGATCAACTGGGAGCAGATCCCAGAGGGGATCAGTGATTTGGAGTTGGCAAAGAAACTCCAGGAGGAAGAAGACAGGCGAGCTTCTCAGTTCTACCAGGAGCAGGAGCAAGCAGCAGCGGCCGCCGCAGTGTCTACACAGCCCCAGGTAAACATTAGTGTTGGGAGGCTTTTTTTTTTTGGTAGTGGAAATGGAACTCTGGACCTTGCACTTGCCAGGCAGGCACTGTGCTGCTGAGCTATCTCCCCAGCCCCAGTGTTTTGATTCTTAAATATGACAGTCA